GGCTCCCCAGACAACCCAAGTGTGCCCCAGGAGCGCGCCAAGAGAAGGCCCAGAGGGGTCCCGAGGCGGCCTGGGCCCGCCCCGAAGCAGGTCACGACAGGCTAATGGAGGTCCCAAGAGGGCCCTAGACGGTCCCAAGAGGCCCCGAAGACGCCCAAGATGCCCTCAAGACGGCCGACGAGGATTCCATTACGCTCCAGGACGGACTCAAGAGGCTCCCCAAAAGGGCCCTGGGAGGCAAGATTCACTAATTTCCTGGTGGTTTTTGAAGGATTTAGGCGTTCTCGCTTCCCCCGCTTCCCAGCACTCCCTCACAGCCTCGCTCGGAGGCCCTTCAGATCGCTCCAAGACGGGCCACGAGGCCCGGAAGTGGGCGCCAAGACGGCCCAGGAGGCTCCCCAGACAACCCAACTGTGCCCCAAGAGCTCCCCAAGAGAGGGCCCAGAGGGGGACCGCCAACCGATCTTTCCAGGTCTCTGGCCCTAGACTAGAGGCCGCCTGTAGGCCCCCGGAGGCCACCAAGAGGCTCCCACGAAGCCCCGTGAGGCGCCCAAGAGGCCCCCAGGAAGCCCCAAGAGACCCCCAAGGGGCTCCCAGGGAACGCCCAAGAGGCCCCCCAACACACCCAAAGAAATCATGTCCCCAGAAAGCCTTCCGGGGACATGGTTCATCATGGGCCCGAGAGTTCCCGGAGACCCCCAAGGGGCCCCCAGGGAACGCCCAAGAGACCCCCCAACACACCCCAACAAACCATGTCCCCAGAAAGCCTTCCGGGGACATGGTTCATCATGGGCCCGCGAGTCTCCAGAGGCTTCGAAATACCATCATGCTACCGGAGAGCTGTCTGGGAAGTTGATTGGGAACATGACTGGTCGCCTTCTCGCGGCCCTCCGCAGATCGTTTCGCACAAACTTGCCCCAAGTGCCCTCTTGAACGACGACGACGACGACGACGACGACGAACGACGACGACGACGACGACGACGACGACGACGACGACGACGACGACGACGACGACGACGACGACGACGACGACGACGACGACGACGACGACGACGACGACGACGACGACGGCGCGCCCCGATAGGCGACGACGACATTACGACGACGACGACGACGACGACGACGACGAGGGCACGCTCCAACAGGCTCCCCAAGACGCCCCCAAACCCATGCACCCAGAAGGCCTTCTGGGAACCCGATTCATACGGCCTCCGCCCCCCTACGCAACCATTTTCCTCGAAGGCCCTTCGGAATGCAGATTGGCATGCGTGGACTGTGGTCCACTACTTCAGCGGAGCAATGAATTCGTCAAGGTCTGGGGCCTGCTAGAACCTGAGCGCGCGCGAAGCGCGCGCGATGGTTTTAGTATTATATAAGCGGCGTCCGGGGCCCCGCGGCCCAGGGTCGCACGCTTTTCCCAAACTCCCCCCCCCCGTAACCGAATTTGCCCCCTGGGCTGCGGGGGCCTTTGAGGCATCCAAGGGCCCGTTGTCGGAGTCCCGGAACTTTTTCCGCTTCCCCGAGGCGTCCACCTAGGCTTCTGGAGACGGCCAGAGGCCGCCAAGACGGCCCAAGAGCGCTCCAAGCCGCCCAAGATGGCCCCATGATCGGCCTAAGAGGCCCCCCAGATGCCCCAAGGTCGCTCCGCGAGGACCTCCAAGAGAGCACCAAGACGCCAAAATCATTGATTTTCATTTTGAGTTTCCAATATTTGTTGAAGCCTCCAACGTCGCCCCAAGAGGCCCCCAAGAGGCCCCCGAGGCCCCCAAGACAGCCCAAGAGGGCCGCATGATCGGCCCAAGAGGCCCCCAAGACGGCCCAAGAGGGCCTGAAGAGGGCCTGAAGACGGCTCCAAGATGGGCCCAAGAGAGGGAACGCGAACCGACCTTGCGAGTTTCCCGCCCCCAGAGACCCCCAGTAGGCCCCCAAGTGGCTCCAAGAGGCTCCCATGAGGCCCCAAAGATGGTTAAGAGAGTTCCGACAAGCTCCACAACGCTCCCGTGGAGGCTTCAAACCTGCCTCAACCGGCCCCCCGAGAGGCATCCCACGACATCATCCCAGCGAACATCCGAGAAGCCTCTAACCCACAACCCAGACACGTTGCGGGATGGGCCCAGAACTGCGACCTCTGGTTCGCATGGGGGGCTGGGGGGTCCTTGAGGGCTCCAAGAGGGTTCAGAAGGGGCCCCGGACCCCTCCAGAGGCTCCTAAGCTGGCCCAAGATATTGCCAGGAGGATCCAGAGAGCCCCCCAAATGCCCGAACAGAGGCGCCCTCTGCCCCAAGAGGCACCCATGAGGCCCCAAGAGACTCCCAGGAGGCCTCCACGACGCCCCAAAAAGCCACCAAAAAGGCTCCAGAAAGACCCGAGAAGCTCCCGAGAAACACCCACCGAGCTCGCAGGAGGCTTCTACACAGACCCTCAGAAGCCCGCCAGAAGCCCTTCGTCCTCCATGCTCCAGAACAGCCCTTCGGAGCACGTGGCCCTGGCTGCACCCCCCGACCCGCCCACCCAATGTCGAGGCCCGAGGACGCCCCCATGACGCCTTCAAGACGCCCCGGAAACGCCTCTCCCGCACACGTGGATGAGGTGACAATGATGCTGATCGTCGGTTGTCCGTCGTCGTCGTCGGCGTCGTCGTCGTCGTCGTCGTCGGTCGTCGCTGGTACGCTACAGGCCAAACCCTTCCTTAAACTTCGCAGCATCCGCCCGAAAATCACGCATGGGTGAAAGGGAGGAACCAGGAAGACCACATGGAAAAGGTCCCATGGAAATTGACACCGTCTTCGGAGTCGACTAGAACCTAAGCGCGCGCGAAGCGCGCGCGTGGTTCTAGTTCTCATATATAAGGAACAGTTCTTGTTGATACCCCACCTCCGGTCCACATTCCGTCTTTCCAATTGAAGTGACCCTCCCAGGACTCGCACCCTGTTTGCAACCAAGGAAAATATTGCGCCTCAGTGGGCTGTTGGCCCCCGAACTACAGCAACAAAGGCTCCCGCCAGGTAGCTCCTCACAATTTATTCAAAATCGCGCACTCTCACGCGGGACCTCCTCACAACGTATGCACGAATCGTGCTTCCGCGTTGGATTTCTCTTAGATTTATCGAACCGCTGCGCCTTCGAATCTCAGGAATCACGCTCTCGCTCTGGACCTCCTCACGATCTGCCTGTGAATCGCGCTGTCGCTCGAGACACCGTCGCGATCCATGCAGGGCCGGAGCCTCGGCGACCCGCCTGCCCGACCTGGCCGTCCGGGCCCGCCCGCCCAGGCCCGCCCGTCGGGGTCCGTCCGCCCGGCCCAGCCGTCTAGCTCTGCCGCCTGGTTCCTTGCTCTCAACACGCCCTTCCTGATAGTCTCTCTCGTTCTCCGTCCGTCTCCCTCCCCCTTGTCTCTTCCCTCCTCCCTCCCTTCCCCTTCCCTTCTCCTTGTACGCGTGGCAGGCAGGGGAGATGTTCCACAAAGGGGGGTGCGATCGAAGACGAAGAGGGCGGAGATCGAGGGTTCGGGATAGAGGATAAGCATGTCGAACGACGCGTGAGCATATAAGAGCGAGCATTATTAATGCGATTGGTGTTGCTGTTGTTTGTGATGATGGTAAAGTTGCAGCTGGTGATGATGATGACGACAATGATGTTGATGCTGATGATGGCGGTGATGATACTGATGTTGATGTTGACGCTGATGACGATGACGATGACGAGGATGATGATGATGATGCTGATGATGATGGTGATGATGGTGATTTGCGATGGTGAGGATGATGCTGATGCTGATGATGATGGTCATGATAATGATGATGATGCTGATGGTGATGGTGATGGTGGTGGTGGTGATAACGCTGCTGCTGCAAGTGCTGCTGCTGATGATGATGACGATGATGATGATGATGGTGGTAAAGATGATGATGGTGATGATGGTGATGGTGATGGTGATGACGATGATGGTGACGATGATGCTGTTGATGTTGACGATGGTGATGAGGATGATGATGAGGATGATGATGCTGCTGCTGCTGCTGCTGCTGATGATGATGATGATGATGATGATTGATGATGGTGGCGATGCTGAGGAGGTGTTGGAGGAGGTGGGGCAGGGATACGTATGGGGGCTCGACCAGAGAGGGGGTCGGGAATCCAGCGTCCCAGATGACCCTGGTCAAAGGCGCATCGCTCTGTTCATCTCGCTACCTTCGGCAGAGACCCTGAGGCCACTCATAGCTGAAAATTCTGACCCACCCTTTGGAGGTGGAGGGATTTGGACGGGAGGGAGGAGGAGGACAGGAGAGGAGGAGAGGAGGAGGAGGAGGAGGAGGAGGAGGAGTGGGAGGAGGGACAGGAGGGAGGAGGAGGAGGAGGAGGAGGAGGAGGAGGAGGAGGAGGAGGAGGAGGAGGAGGAGGAGGAGGAGGAGGAGGAGGAGGAGGAGGAGGAGGAGGAGGAGGAGGAGGAGGGGGGGGGATGTGGGAGAGGGAGGAGGGCGGAGGAGGGAAGTGGAGGTAGGAGGAGGGAGGGTGAGGAGAAGGGAGCGGTCTGACCCTGCTGCAGCGTATTGTAAACAGTAGGCTCTCATATGTTTCTGTCCCCCTTCCTTGCCTTTCACCCCACCCGCCTCCTCGTTTCCATCCTTTTCTCACGCCTCTCTTTTTCTCCACCCATGTCAACTCCCTTCCTCCCCCATCTGTCCCCCTCCCTCCCCCCATCCCCCTTTTGTTCTCTTTTGAAGTATTCCGCTCTCATCGCCACCTTCCACCCCCTCAGCTTCTCCCTCCCCATGCCCAATCCCCTTCCTCCCATCCCTTCTCTTCCATCTCTCCTTTCCCACGTCCCCTTCTTTCCGTCCCCCTTGCCCCTTGTGTGCCCCCCTCCCTTTACCTTTCACGCTTTCCTCCTCCCCCCTCGCCCTCACCGTTCGTCCCTCTTTCTCTCTCCTCCTTGTCCCCCCTTCTCCCCCAGCACCCCTCTCCCCCCCTCCCCATCCCTCCCCTCCCGCTCCACAGGAGGAGCGCTTCCTGGTGCCCGCGTACCCTCTCCTCGCTTTCGCGGCAGCGTTCGCAGCCTGCGGCGGCGCGGCGGCGCTCTCCGAGGTGGCGAGGCGAGCCGCGCCCGGGCTGGCTCGCTCGGCCGTGGTGCGGCTGCTGCTGCGCGTGGACGTGGCGTTCATGCTGGCGACGGGCGCCCTGTCCGCCTCCAGGACTCTGCCCCGCCCCCTCCCCCCCCCCCTTTGGCGCTCCCCCCTCCCCCCCTCTTGGGGCCCCCCGCCATGGGGAGGGGGGGGGCGAGGGAGGCTCCCAGCGAGGTTGCGCTTCATCCCGTTCGGGCCGCCCCTCCGAGGATGCCAGCGGTGCCGCTCCTCCCTCCCCCTCCTCCGGACCTCGGCGCCACTGGGAGGGGGAGGGCGGGGGCCTCCCGAGGGAAGCCGCGCTCCATCTCCTTCGGGCCCCCCATCGAAGGATAGCAGCACTGCACACGGGCTACGCGGCCCCCGTCGGCATCTACGCGGCCCTCGGCGAGCAGCTGTCGTCTCTGCGCGCCTCCCGCGGGGCGGGCCCCATCCACGCGTGCCTGGGGGCGGAGTGGCACCGTTTCATGACGAGCTTCTTCCTGCCTCATCATGACGACCACTTATCGTACGTTCGATTTGGCCCCACCGGTTTGCTCCCTGCAGAGTTTAACGTCAGCGTCGGCACGAGCGGAGTGCCCCCCTTTATGAACGACCTGAACAGAGAGGAGCCGTCGCGATACGTGGATGCAGACAGGTGTGATTTCTTGATTGATGTCGATCTTGGCGAGGCGCAGGGAGATATACCTGCCTTGCGATCTCGTGCGCTGCGGACGCTAGCAGAAGCTCCGTTTTTAGATGCATCGAGATCGAGATTCCCATGGCGAGCGTTCTACGTCCCCGGCATATCCAAACAGAAGAACGTGTATGCTTCCTATCGGCTCTTGCAGCTCGCACCCGTTGCCCGGGTGGCCTGACAGACAGCAGCCAGTGAAGATTATGGTTCCGAAATGTGTGCTCACAATCATCCCCAGCAGTGCCGTAGTTGATTGACGATCGCCGGCTGCATCGTCGTTTTCGGTCCCATCATCGTCAAGTTCGTCGTTTAAAAGATATGCAAAGTCACGACTATAATCATGATCGCCAGCACCGTCGCATTTGTGTGTCTCTCTCTCTCTCTCTCTCCCTCGCCTGGTGTGACGCTCATCCATCGGCCATTGGTATAGCAGTCCTATCCATGATGCGGTAAGGACTGAGCATGTGGATGTCGATGCTTCGCACTCCCTGAGCTGCCTCTCCAATGGCTCCAGCCGTTTACTCCTCACTGCGCTATGTCCCGTGTCGTTGTGGGTAGATCGTGTTCTGCAGATGAGCAGGGTTGAAGCGCCACGCTGATGCAAATCATTTGTGCGACAGCAATCCATGCTGAGAAATCGCACGGAGGCCCACTCCCAGTAGCGTGATTCACGGGAGGAAAGAGGCAAGCCCACATTGGGCAAGGGAACAAGGTTGTCGCGTTTTCGATTAGGTCCGTGAAATCACACACACACACCAGATGCATCTCGACAGTTCTTGGGACAGGCCTCGAGAATTCAGGTCGCAGGCCCTTCTCGAATGGCCTGCCCGCTGGAAGCATCCCAGAGGCACTCCAGAATGCGACTTCTTGGATTGAATCGGCCACTCTCTGGGAACCGGCCAGGGGGAGACACCACTTCTTCATGCTTCGCGTATCCTCACCAGTCTGCACTGGCGATGTCCATTCCCGCCAGTCTGGCCCGCTGTCCGCGCAATACGCGGTTCTCTCAACGGCGTCCACGTCGTGCCCCTGGGCCGGGCTCCCAGGTGCAGTCGCCCTCCGGGCCTGGTCCATACTAGTTTTGTTGCTCGGGATTGGCGTCTTCCCCAGGGTACTCGGGTTGTGTCGCGGAGTGGTCCAGCCTTCCAGCAGACACCGTGCTTCCCCCGCGCCCCGTCCCCGCCTACCTGGCATGCTCTGTGCCGCTGACGCGGCCCTGGCCCTTGGCGCCCTGCGGCGACAGGGTCAGTTTGTACCTGGTCTCTCCTGGCCACAGTGTTTGTGCTCATCGTGCTCGCCCAGCTCCGTTCCTGGCTGCGCACCGCTTTCCGGTTCACCAGCAGCGGCAGCGATCCCCAGTACGCGGCATGGCATGTGCACAGTGATGGACAGGCGTCCCGGCGTGCAGTTCCTAATTCCACCTCTGGCACTTTTGCATCAGGATTGCAGGTGCATCAGCTTCCAAGGGCGTTGCAGACCAGCCATCCAGTTCTAAAAGATGCTGCTGCACCTCAGCTGCCGCTTCTGAGTGCTGACCCGGCCGGCTTGCGTGTCGCTTTGTAGCTAATTAGGTTGGCCCGTGCCCCGGACCCCCTCTCGCCGCCTGCCCTCTGCTGCGCGGCCGCAACCCAAAAAAGTATCCTCACCAGTTTTTGGCTGCGCTTACTTGCTGGTCGCCACCGGGATTACCAACGCCACCAGGTTTGGGAGTATCGGTTCTGGCTCTCCTTCTGAGCGGCTGCCCGCTCGCTCGCTTCGCTTGCCTTTCTCTTCCTGCTGCCTAGTCGCGGCCCGACTAGTGTTCGGACGGCTTTCGGCCCGCCTCGCGAGCCTGTTGACCAGAAAGTATCCTCACCAGTCCATCCAGGCACGATGCCCAGCGGAGCTGCACTGAACTCTTAGATGTTTCTTGTGGCGTCTTGGGGCTGCTTTGGGGCCTCTTGGAGCCTCGGGGGTCTCTTGAGGGCTTCTGGGGGCCTCTTGGGCGCCTCTTGGCGCCCTTGGAACTCTCTTGGGGCGCGTTTCAGGCCGTCTTAGACCCATCTTGGAGGTTGTCGATCAGGAAGGCGGCGGCGTTGTTTATGTTCCCCCCCTCTTTTCCGAGAGGCGACCATGGGCCAAACGCCCATGACAATTCAATGTGTTTGCCTTGTCTTGTCGCTGAGGCCTTCTTGGACATTCTAACCTCTCGCCCCCCCCTCCCGTCCAGACCCAGTGAGAGTAGGGGCAGGAGTCAATCATAGCCAAGCTACCCGAAGCCGCACCCAGTGCCGCTCACCCCCACCCGCCCTCTCAACACACAGGCAGCATTCGAGCCTGAGGCCCCAATCCCTCTGAGTTCATGGGTCCCGTCGGAAGCGCAATGCAGAGCACTCGTAGCATTCATTGAGAACGGTGGAGCCCCAAGTACCAGCTCCAACTCGCACACCGTTTTCCTGAAAGCCGCTTGCCCCGACAGACGTCGGAGTCAGCTAGGCTGGTGTATGTAATAAACGAATACGCCAAGCCCCCTCCCGTGGCGTTTTTCCACCTCGATTACATGTGGGTTACAGTGCCGTTTTTAATACATGTCCCGCGTGCGGATCATGTATTAAAATGCGCGGTTTAGTATTAAAAGTAACGATGAATTCATGCATAAATGTATTCATACATTGATCATGTATGTAGAATCATTTTTATATAAAAATCCCATGTATTAGCAATTGCCCTGTACGCTCCCCCAAGAAGCCCCCAGAAAACACAATAACTGCCCTAGACGCTCCCAGTCAACCCAACATAGCTTCCGCGCGGCCCCCAGGCTCTCCCAGGAGGCCCCCAAGAGACCTTGAGAGAGCTCCGAGAGGCCTCCCCGAGAGCGCCCAGAGAACCTAACACCGTCAATTATCATGAGTTCCTTTCTGGGCTTTTGGTTTTCTCACCATCTCATGCTTCCAACGCTCCAGGGCGGCCGAAGAGGCCCCCGAAATCGCCCCAAGACCGCCCAAGAGGGCCCCGAGACGGGCCCGAGACGGGCCAAGAAGGCCCCAAGACTGCCGAAGAGGCGCCCAGAGCAGCTCCAGACCACCCCAGAATAGGCCCAAGCCCGGCCCAAGCGAGAGGACTCCGGGACCCCCCAGAGGCCCGCAACACACCCCAGACCCCTGAGAGGCCCCAAAGAAGCCCCGACGAGGCCCCCAAAACAGCCTAAGAGCGCTTCGAGAGCCGTCCCGAGAGAGCCCGAAAAGGGTAAAATCGTTGATTTTCGATTGTTTTTTCAACGTTTGTCGCCCTCTCACGTTTTCCCGGCTTCAGCGCTCAAAGACCGAGGAACTTGAAAACAATCAATTACAGAGATTCCCTTTTTTTCAAGTTCAACAAATACCCCCCCCCCTGTCTGGGGTCTGGGGGTCCCACACCTTCCCGGAACATCTGCGGAACGCTCTTGGTACCGTGTGTTCTGGCCCCGGGGGACCCCCAAAACGCGCAAGGACAGCCCAAGACGACCCCAATCATTTTCCATAACGTTAAAGGACGGCCCAAGACGCTCCCAAACAACCCAAGATAGCCTTCGGTCGGCTCTCCAGGCTGCCAGAAAGCCTCCAATAGACTTCAAAGACCGAGGAACGGAGAAAAAGGAATTGCAGATATTCTTTTTTCCAAGTTGTGACTCCTACCCCGTATCCTCACCAAGACTTCGGGGTCACATGCGAAGATCGAAGACGCCTACGGCGAATCACCGCCGCCCCCTGCCTTTTTGGGAGCGCCTGCGCGGCCGAAAGTTGGGCTTGAGCTTGGCCAAGCTATCGGGCCACGCGTTCCACGAGTGGGTTTCGAAAGCCTTCGGGGAACACGGAGTCGGGCGAGCTATCGGACCATGTGGTTTCCGAGTTTCGGGCCTCCTGGAGGACGTTTTGCAGGGATCTTGGGCCATCTTGGAGGCCTCTGGTGGGCCTTTTGGGCAGTCTACGGTCATCTTCGGGCCATCTGGGGCCGCTTTGGGTGCATATTGGGGCCATCTTCGCCGTCTTGGAGGCCTTCTTGGCCGTCTTGGAGGCATCTTGGAGGCCATCTTGGCCGGCTTGGAGGCCATCTTGGGCGTCTTGGGGGCCTCTTGGGCCGTCTTGGGGTCTTGTTGGGGTCCTCTCGGGGGCCTCTTGGCTTGTCATGGGGCCATCTTGGAGGTCTTGGGCCGTCTTGGGCCGTCGGAGAGCTCAAAAGAAGAAAGTACCCAAATCCCTTAAAAACCGAAGGACTATCAATGATTTTGGCCTCTTCGGGCCTTCCTGGTGGAGCTCTTGGAGGCCTCTTGGGGCCCTCTTGGGCAGTCGTAGGCCATCTTGGAGCCATCTTGGGCCGTCTTGGAGGCTTCTTGGACGAACTTGAAGGCATCTTGGACTCTCTTGGGCCGTCTTGAAGGCATCTTGGACCATCTTGGGCCACTTGGAGGCCATCTTGGAGGCCTCTTGGGCCGTCTTGGGGCCCTCTTGGGGCTGGCGTGAAGGCCTCTTGGGCCGTTCTTGAGCCATCTGGGAGGCCTCTGGGACTAGTTCGGGGACTCTTTGGGTCGTCTTAGGCGGTCGGAACACCAAAACCGAGGAAAAGCAACAATCCTTTAAAGCCCTACGGAAAATTTGAAATTTTGGCTCCCTCGGGCTTTCCTGGAGCACCTCTTGGACTCCTCTGGGCCAATCTTGGAACCTCTCGGGCCCATCTTGGGCCATCTTGGCCGTCTTAGCGGCCATCTGGGCCGTCTTGAAGCTCATCTCGACCGTGTTGGAAGCATCTTGGAGGCCATCTTGGCCGTCTTGGAGACCGTCTTGTCTTGGAGGCCTCTGGAACCATCTTGGCGCCCACTTGGGGCCGTCTTGGAGGTCCCTTGGGGCAAAAACAAAAATCCATAATTCCTTTTTTTTCAAAGTGGGACTCCTTACTCGGAGCTCCCACACATCCCCTGACAGATGGCCGGTACCGCGCCTCCCGGCTTCCTGGGGGGCCCCCAATACGCCCAAGAACAGCCCAAGACGACCCCAAGGAGCCTCCAGAACGTAGAGAACGGCCCAACACGCTCCCGCGCAGCCCGAGACACCCTTCCGATGGCTCTCCAGGTCTCCAGGAGGCTTCCAGAACCTCCAGAGGGTCCGGAAGATCCCACACCCCTGAGGGGCCCAGCCAACAAAACCCGCGAGGCACAAACAAGAAACAGCGCCGAACAGCGCCGAGGAGCTGGAGCAGAAATGGAAATCCCACAATCCCTCCTTGTTTTCAAGCTTGGCCCCTGGCCTGCTCTTGCACAACAGACCCCAATTCAGACCCCCTCACTTCCCAAAATTAT